GGGCCTGGGGACGCTGACCGCGCGTCCTCCCGCAAGCGCACCCCTGCGGCCGGCGGCTTCTTCCGCCGCTCGTTGCTGCTTAGCGGGCTCCGAGCGGGCGCGCGCCGCAGCTCCCTGGGCAGCAAACGAGGCTCCCTCCGTAGCGAGGTGAGCAGCGAGGTGGGCAGTACAGGGCCTCTGGGCTCCGAGGCCAGCGGGCCCCTGGCCCCAGCGCCGCCAGCCCTCATCGAGGGCTCTGCCACGGAGGTGTATGCGGGCGAATGGCGCGCCGACCGGCGCAGCGGCTACGGCGTGAGCCAGCGCTCCAACGGGCTTCGCTACGAGGGCGAGTGGCTGGGCAACCGGCGGCACGGCTACGGGCGCACCACCCGCCCCGACGGCTCCCGTGAAGAGGGCAAGTACAAGCGCAACAGGCTGGTGCACGGGGGGCGCGTGCGCAGCCTCCTGCCTCTGGCCCTTCGGCGGGGAAAAGTCAAGGAGAAGGTGGACAGGGCTGTCGAGGGCGCCCGTCGAGCAGTGAGTGCTGCCCGCCAGCGCCAGGAGATTGCTGCTGCCAGGTGGGCATCGGGTGCAGAGGCCAAAGCTGGGCCAAGGGGAGAAGGTACCCTGGGGACAGGGAAGGTGCCTAAAGGAAGACCCAGACACATGCCTTAGGGCCTAGTAGGGAAGAGCAGGCCTAGAGCCAGGTAGTTGTAGCCCTGGGTGTTTGGAGTGTTTATATCTGAGGCTACAGGTGGATGTAGGTGTAACTGGGTGGCTGGGTGTTTGAGGGAAGCCGTGTTAGACTGTGCGTCGCAGTGTCTTTTGTGGGGACATTCGTCATTGTGTGTGGGATTAGCAATGAGCACTGCCTTGTGCAGCCCCAGAAACCTCTTAGAACTAAGACGTGTCCCCAGTCTTCCTTTGCTTGTAGCTAATCCAGACTCCAGGCCAGGCAGGGAGCAGCAGCCCTGGGCAGAGAGACAGGATGTGCATTCCTAACCACAGTTCAGCCTGCCCACAGTCTGATATCATTTCAGGCTGGGGTCTTGGGGAAGTCTAGTTTGTACAGTTGACCTATCCACCTAACAAGACAGTTCCTCTCAGCTTTGCCTCCTCTGTCTCCCATTCTTTACCCACTGATAAAGATTTGAAGGGAGGAGGCTTGCTGGTAAACGAAGTTTTTCCCCTGCAAATCAGATTACATATCCATGCATCAGGAACCTTGTTATTTAAAGCAGTGCTGTCCAGTAGGAATATAATGTAAGGCAAACACATAATTTTAAACCATATAAAAAAATAAAAACAAACAGATGAAGTGAATTTAAATAATATGTTTTTTCTTTAAACCAATATATCCAAAATATTATTTCAACCTATAATCATTATTAAAATTATAAATGAGATATTTTACATTCCCCTCCCCTTTTTTTACTAAGTCTTTCACATCTAGCATGCATTTTACACTTACAGCACATCATTTCAATTCAGGCTAGCCATGTTTTAAGTGCCTAATAGCTACATATGACTTGTCACAACTGGAGTAAATAGCACAGATCTAAAGAAAGACAAAAATCCATTTGTAATGAGATTCACAGGCCCCTGATTTATGCAACTCACACATATGAATTTTTATATATTGGATTTTACTTAAAGGGGAAGGCACAGTTGAAGGATTTTGTTAAATTTTGAGACTGTTTCAGAGGATCAGAGATCAAGATATATCTAAATATGCTTCAGTGGGTTTGCATAATAGGTGACAAGGGGTGTGTGTGTGTACACATGTGATATCCAGAGTAGATGTCTATCTGTACATATATGTGAGCATCTGGATGATTAGAGTCCAGGGCCATAAGCCAGAGAAGGGGGAAGGCAGAGCACCAGGGAGCACTGTAGAGTAGATGAAGAACAGGCATGTGCAGGAAAAACTAATCTCAGTAACTGGAGGATCAGGCAGTGAAAGGAGGCTGGTTGGTCTCCCCAGCAACAGGCCTGGCAAACCTGATTGGCTTCAAGCTGCCATGGAAACAGCAGAACCTCAGCAGCAGGTGCCTCTGCCAGGTAGCCTGAGCCTGGCCTAATGTCCAAGCACTGGGTCTGGGACTGGGTCTGCTGCCTAGGACTTGATCATCCATACCCTCCCAACTCAGAAACACAGGCCTTTGTCAGTGTTGCCATTTCTTTACCTCCAACATAATTCAATGTAACCCAAGACTGTGATCCTCATCCCCTGCCCTAAACCCTGAAACCAGCTCAGTTTCAATACAGGGCTAGTCATATAAAGTCCGAAAGCCCTAAGATGGAAGAATAGCATCACCTGAGGACCCTTTAAGCAGGCTCTAAAGGTCCTTGACCCACCAGGTTTGATGGGAGGAGGCCGACCATATCTTCCAAGGTACATACAGAGCAGGTGGACCTAAGTCTGCAATGGACACCACCACCCTTGTCCCTACCCCCATACCCAGACTGCCTTCCTAGGCCAGATTAAATAGGCCTGGGGCCAGAGGGAATCATGGGTCTTGGTCCATTCAATCCCATGGCAAGTATATCAGTCAGAATTACAGTACTAATTTAATGATTACAAGGCATCTTGCCATTAACAGCAGAGGGCGAAAGGGAAGGGAAAATTGAGAAAGTGTATGACATCAGAGGGAAAACGTGGAAACAACAATAGGGAAAGGATTGATAATGCTTCAAGGTAACCTGTACCTAAGGAACAGGGCAGGATGGGAGGGGGGCTGTAGGAAGGAGACTAGGATCTTACCCAGAAGGTATAATCACTGTGGTGAGAAAGCATGCCTGTGAGCAGGGAGGGGGGACCCACCCTTACTCCAGTTCCAGAGTTCAGAAAGGATAAGGTGGTTCGGGGGACAGTAGCAGTGAGGATGGGGGTGGAGTGGGGTGGGAGAACAATGTAACAACAGAATAAGCTGAGGAAAAGCAAGATGTGAGATTCTCATGTCAGGAAATCTGCAAGGAGAGGCAGGATTCAGGAAGGGCTAGCAGGAGTGAGGAGAAGGGAAGCAAAGGCTCCTAATACTGGGAGAGGATGGCTCAGAGCAAGGACGTGTGGGGGGAGGGGCGAGTAGGACGAAGCTGTTAAAAGTGCAGGATTGAGGTACAGGAAAAACACCCTGGACCCCTCAGAGAGCTGTGTGACCCCAGGAGTATGAGAGGAGTTGATAACAAGAGGTACCAACAGCAAAGAGAGTGGGCAGGCAGAGCTTAAAGCACAAGCAGGTGCGACTGCAGAGGGATGTACTAAGAGTAAGGTCTCAATTGTCAGTGGGAAGGGAGTAGGACAGGAATGGAATAACAGAGTTGAGGGCAGCTGGGGGGGCCTGGCCCTGTAGCCTGAAGAAGGAAAGTGTTACTACAGAACATAATGATGGAAGGGTGTGAGAGGACCAGGAGGGTGTGATGACAGCAGGCGTACCCGAGGTCTAGGAGAGGAAACCAAAGGCCAGCTGCTCTGCCCAGCCGGGGATGTACTGTGGTGGGGACATGGGCCAGGGGGCTGGAGCATCTGAGCAGGTCTGCTAAGTCCCTGTCCCTGGAACCTGACAGGGCAGCAGACGCCCTCCTAAAGGCAGTAGCAGCCAGCAGCGTTGCTGAGAAGGCTGTGGAGGCTGCTCGAATGGCCAAACTGATAGCCCAGGACCTGCAACCCATGTTAGAGGCCCCAGGTGAGGCATGGGCAGCCTGGGGCGGGGGTGGGCCCCCTGGGGAGCTGGAAGGGAAAAGGGAAGGGAATCCTCACAGGAGGCTGGGGATGGGAAAGCCAAGGTATGAGGGTTTGAGGGGACAGAGGGTGGCAGGCTAGGGAATAGAACTGGGAATTGATGGCATAGGGTAATAAGGACATGGAGTTGGGGTCTTGCAATGAGAGGCTGTAAGCCTGGGAATACCAAAGTCCTGGGAGGTGCCCAGTTGGAGGGATAAAGCAGTAACTTTTGCAGCCCAAGGCCAGTTAGGCCCCTCTGATTCTTAGCTATCCCTGCCCCAGGCCGCAGACCCAGGCAGGACTCAGAAGGTTCCGACACAGAGCCCTTGGATGAGGACAGCCCTGGGGTGTACGAGAATGGACTGACCCCCTCAGAGGGCTCCCCTGAACTGCCCAGCAGTCCTGCCTCCTCCCACCAACCCTGGCGACCCTCAGCCTGCCGGAACCCACTGCCTCCTGGAGGGGACCGGGGTCCTTTCTCCAGCCCCAAAGCTTGGCCTGAGGAGTGGGGGAGCCCAGGTGAGCAGGCAGAGGAACTAGCTGGCTATGAGGCTGAGGATGAGGCTGGGATCCAGGGCCCAGGATCCCCACTCCTTGGAGGCTGCAGTGACAGTTCTGGAAGTCTTCGAGAGGAGGAGGGGGAAGATGAAGAGCCCTTGCCCACCATGAGGACCCAAGGGGCCTTGGAGCCTGAGCCTATGGCCACACCAGTCCTGAGGGGCCTGTCCTCAAGGGGTCCTGAAGCTGGGTGCCTGATGGAAGAGCTTGAGGAGCCAGCTGCACCTGAGAGGCCCGCCCAGCCGGTGAGACAGACACGCTTCATCCCGCTTTGTGCCCTCTGAGTCTCAGCTCATTTCTGGCCCCTCTTCTCAAAGCCTTGCCTCTCATCCTTTCTAGACCTCTCTCATCCCCTGAGGGACTTTGATTTGGATTCAGCTTTCTTTGTGCCTGCCTAGTCTTAAACCATATCCTACCTCAAAAAAAAAAAATTTAAAAAACTTGAGAGCTAGAAGAAACCTGAGAGACCTTCATGTCCAACTCTCTCTTTTGACAGAAAGGGAAACTGAGTCACAGAGCACTTAAAGTGACTTGCCCTAGGTTACAAAGGAATAATTAACAGTAGAGCCAGAACATCTTTCCCTGTTCTCCTTCCATATCATTTCCAGCTCCCAGTTTCCTACTCCACTCCCACCCCCCACCTCCACACTTTCTGTCTTTGGTGCCCAGAAATAAAAAAGGAAAAGCTTGTTCCCTCCTCCCTACCCCGACTCTCCCTCCCTCTCCTGGGAAGAAGGGAAATAAGAAAGAAGGCAGAAAACCAGGAGGGGCGGAGTTTTTCCAGAACCCTCTACTCTGATTGGACTCCAGGCCTTCTGTTTCCTAGCAACCACATCCTCACCCCTTCATCCCTTTCTACTTTACTGCAGTACCAGCTGCCGCTGCCAATGTGTGCTACTAAGGCCGGGCACCTTCTGCCTGGGCCATGTGACGTGCTGATGGGAGGAGGGAGGCAGGGTTATTCCTGACTTGAAGGAGCCAGAGGGAAGGTGGGGCCCTGGCTGGGAGAAGAGGAGTGTTTTGCAATCCAACACAAGGGTTGGTGATTCCCCTGCTCTGGCCTCTGAGGAAATGTGCCTGGGATCTTCAGCTTTGCCACCTAGGCCAGGGCAGGACAGTGGAACCTGTCGCTGGACCTTGTCCTCAGGGACTGAGACTGCATTTCTCCCATCTCTCTAGGGAGCTGCCAACCCCCTGGTGGTGGGAGCCGTGGCCCTCCTGGACCTCAGCCTGGCGTTCCTGTTCTCCCAGCTCCTCACCTAAGGCTCCTGCCTGGCCTAATTCTGGCTTCAGTTGCTGCCTCTTCACTCCTTTGACTTGCCTTTTTTCTCTTTTCCTCCTTCTGCTTGTTTTTTCTCCAATCTTCTCCTTTTCCTTTCTTTTCTGTCTCCCTTTGTTTTTATCTCTTGCTTTTCTTTCCTGTTCTCCTTTCAGATTCTCTCATTTATTCTGGATCTGTTTCTGTCTTCCTCACTCCCTTTCCCACCCCAACTCTTTCTTTCTCTAGATTGTTTACATATGAAGGGCTTTTCTTGCTCAGAGTTGCTCTCTTCTCTGAGACACACAAATCTAAGTCAGACCATTGCCCCATACCCTCCCCACCTTTTCTTTAGACCTGAACTTGGATGATGGTGGGGTTTGGTGTCCTGAGGAGTCTCCTGGAACCTGAGTGGAAAGGAGGAAGAAAATGGAGGAGTGACTATACTGGGCAAGGCACTGGTTGAGCTCTGTGGCTCCCTAACCCAGGGCCCTGGTGGCCCTGAGGCCTAGTGAAAAACCTGGAGGAGGTACAGTCATCACCTCTGACTTTGGAGGATCCTATCTCCCCTCTAAGCACTGAGATAGGTTCTTGCCCAATCCCATCCTCCCCTGAAAGAGATATGAAGGGAAATGAAAAGTAGGATGACTTCCTAGCATCTCCCACTTTCTTTCCTCTACAACCAGCCCCTCATCTAACCCCCTAGGGTGGCATGCCATGTCAACAGCAATGTGTAAAGGAAAGAAAGAGCCCATTGCAGGCAAGTCCATCCACTGACCTCTCCCACCCTTCTCTCTCCCCTAAAAGTTTATCTGATTGGTCTGGACTCACTCGTGGCCTTTGATTAAATTTCTAAGGGGCCTGAAGAATACATTCCTTCAGCAGAGGGTTAGAGGCACTTGAGCAAGTACCCCAGTCCGCAACTCTGGCAGTTGTGTTTGGGGAGGCAGTTTTGAGGAATGGAACCAGACCAGGTGACAGGAGCTCACAGGGCAGCAAAAGTTGTGACAAGCTTAATCTCTAAGTGGGTTATATCTCTTCCCTAATCATATCAGAATCTTGTGAAATGGGTAAACAGGAGGGGATCACAGGAAGCCAATCTATCATACACTTGCCAGGCAGGGCAGAGGTGGGTGGAGAGCCCTGTTTGAGGTTGTGGCTGATCCCTAGTACTAACTTTTTCCCCTGGGGGCAGGAAGCCCTAGGAAGAGGGTACTGTAAGGTCCCCAGGGGATCTTTCCTCCCTCCCCTGCATGAGGCAGAGGCAAGCTGCCTGCCAAACCCCTCCCTCAAGGAATGGCCTTGCCTGGGAATGCCCACCACACACATCCTCTTCTTTTTTTCTAGTCAAACTCTGTTTACTCCTTGGCCTGCCTCCTTCCTTCCTCCCTCTCAATCTTTACTTCTGATTTCTATTTCATGGAATTTGGGATTGAAGTTCAACTACAACAGTGCCGCCAACACCAAGTCTTGCAGGAAAAAAATACAAAGAAATTTAACAAAAAAAAAATATATTAATAAAAAAGTTCAAAAAAG